CTCTCCTCCCCCGACCCCCTCCCTCCTTCCCTTCCACTCCCTAAAAATCAATGAAAAAAAATATTCTCAGGTGAGGATTAACAAAAAAAATAAATAAAAAGAGGCAGCCTTGAGTTTGAACTTAGGTGTGTGAACTTTGCATTTTGCTTTCTTCCTGCTGCCTGCCTCCAGCCACCCTCCCACTCCCATTGCCCCCAGTATCCAGAACCCCCCACGACTAACCTTCGACCAACACCTTTGCAGGGTGCGTCTGAATCTCACGGGGTTTAATATGTAATTGGTGGGGAGAGAATGACCTGTGAGAGAGAGGGAGACCTCTACCTCTGCCTCTTCATTCTTTCTGATTTTCAGCCTGACACCCTACAGGAGAGTAAGTTACAGTTGGTTTCCCTACCAGGTTATCTTTACAGATTCCTCTTCCTTTAGTCAAGCAGTGTCTCTACTGGTTAAAATGAGTTCAGAGTGTCTGCTCCTCATTGTTTCCTTCCTGTGAAGAGATGGAATTGTCAGGAAGTTGGTTCTAGAATTTGTCAGGCTCCCTGGAGAATGAGACTTGTCAGACGTCAACAACATTTGAGCCCTCTCACTGCTGTACTTGCCTCTGTGCCAGTCCCACAGTCTGGGACAGGGTGGTGTGTAGCTTTTCTGGCTGTCTGAGGGAACCATGCAGCCACAGTGATGAAATTTCTCTTTTATCTCTTTCCTCTTCATTCTTTTGCTCTCTCCTGTCCAAAAAAACCTTTTTTTTTAAATCTTCACCCGAGGATATTTTTTCTATTGCTTTTCAGAGTTGGGGGTGGAGAGAGAAGCATCTGTGTGAGAGAGACACATTGATGGGTTGCCTCCTGCATGCACCCTGACCGGGCCCAGGGATCCAGCCTGCCACCGAGGTACGTGCCCTTGGCCGGAAGTGAACCCGGGACCCTTCAGTTCACGGGCTGATGCTCTAACCACTGAGCAAAACTGGCCAGGGCCATCTTGACATTTTTACGTTTTTCTGCCGCACCTGTCATTTGAGAAAAGGCGTCCATCATACTAGTTCAGTTAAGGGTATGCAGTCGGAGGGCCTGGATTTAAATCCCTGCTCCCCTCGCCAGCCGAGGGGCCCCTGGTGAGTTTCTCAGCTTCCCCTGCTTTGGGTTGTTGTTGTTTTGTTTTTTTTGCAACTAAAACAGGCAGTAGTAGTATATACTTTATAGGCCTGCTATGAAGAGCACAGAAAATATATGTAGCTAACTTAGCGCGCAGTGACTGGATCAAGTGCTCAGCACATACTGGCTATTACTGCTGCAGGTGTTTTAAACAGGGCCTGTCACTCAGTCACCATGCCCATTGCTTCGTCTTCATGGAAACATACGAGAGCATATTAACTTCAGTATATTGTACTTGACTTTTTTTGTTAGTAATGTCCACGGATTACTGAGCACATACCCCCACTTGGGAAGTGTCGTGTTGTTTTTTTGTTTTAATCTTCCATGGCTTTTTACAATTAATCTGGGCTTTTTTTTTTTTTTAAACTCCGAAGTCAATTGGACACCTGCTGTATGCCGTGCTCCCTGCAGGCCTGGGTGTAGGGATGGATATAGCAGGAGTCCTGCAGCGAAGGAGCCCCTGACCT